GAGGACCCAAATTTGGGTCCTCTAGCGAATGACACCGACATTACTGTGAAAGTCTGACTGCAAAGTTCCTGGAGAAGGAAAACAGAAAACGTTTATCAAACCTGATGGTTTTCACTGCAGATGCACCGATCAGTTATCAATATCTGTATCGGTCCGATAGCCCATCCATAAGGCTGATCTATTCACTCTAATTCTATGCTTTGAGTGAATATAATAGATGGCAGCGTACCGCCACAATAAAAGCCCCACAGCCTCAGAATTAAGATTATTAAGTGTGTAATATAAAACACATGGCCTGTATTTGTTCAGCATAATCAGTTCAAAACTCATTTTAATACCATGAAGCATTTAATGTAACTTAATTTTGAAAATTCACCACTGTCTGTGTGTTTCCGGTACCGGGCCTCACCGGTTCTGGACAAGAACTTTCAATAAGGGCCCACTGGCTTCTGACCCGTCGTTTGCCGACTGTTTCCCTTGCAGCGCGAAGGTGAAGGATAAGATCCAGCTGATCAACAACATGCTGGATAAAGTGGATGAGATGATCATCGGCGGCGGCATGGCCTTCACTTTCCTCAAAGTTCTCAACAACATGGAGGTCAGCGTCGCTTCCAGAACCAGTTTCTCCTGAAAACCCGACTCCAGTCTGGAGTTTGGAGCAGCAGATTTTATTTCCTGAACTTCAAACCAAAACCTCATCAGGTTTTAATGATTCATTTCCTCTAATTCAAAGCTGACTTTACACATTGAATCATTTTATAACACGTTTCATAAAACATTTATAACATCAGATCATGTTTAGTGTTGGAGAAAATAAAGATTATTTAAATGGGAGCAGCAGTGAAGAAAGTTAAATTATTACAAAGAAATCTCTATTTTAATGCAGAGGCTTAGATAAATATTAATAAAGTTTCATGAAATGAGAATTTCAGGATAAACATTCAGATTTTATCAGCTGGAGCCACAAGTTTACATACGCCTTTCTTGCTTTGATGTCTGCAATTAAATCAGAACAAATTTCATTCTAAACCTTTAATGATCCTCGTTACTTCAGCAGGAAAACGGCCCACGGCCCTGCCGGGTCGGCCGGGCCGTGCCGGGCCCTGCCGGGTTGTGTCTTCAAATTAATTTTTAGTTTATTTTGAAATGTGTTGGATGTGACATCATCATTTTTACCGCATTTTTCAGACTAAAGTGTCACTAAGTATCTGCACTGTAAAACAGAAACCAGTGCAGCGTTGATTTAAAACAACGGCTCCACAAAAACGCGAGTCTGGTTCTGATCCGAGAGTCCAGGTCTGGTTCTGGTCAGAATAAATCCAACGACAGAAGTCCTTCAACTGAGGACAGCAAACTATATCACACATTATGATCTACTAGGATTTTAAACTATTTACTGTATTTATTTTTAGTTGGGTGAGTTTTTTGTTTTTTGGCAGGAATGTCTCAGATCTGGCAACCCGCCTGAAGCATGAAGTCTAAATGTCCTGACCGATAATCCTCCTAAAATATCTAATCTGGCAGAAATCTGAACAAATGTACTGTTATAGAGCAAATAAGTCAGGATTTGACTAGGACAGATTGTATTATTGTTGAGTCTGATGAAACCTCGGTGTGTTTTAGATAATCTGCAGGTCGTGACCTCAGTTCAAACTTTAACAGAATCTGGTTCTTCTATGTAGATTAGAAACGTCCAGATTAGCAGAAAGTTAAGCAACAAAAAGGAACCGTGAAGCAAGACGAGGTTACAGGGTTGGCCGTGTTGCATCATGGGAAATGAGGGCGTAGGTTGGAGCTGATGAGTTTCTGGTTTGGAAAGTTTTGATATTCAAATGTTTGGTAATAAAGTTTAATATAGAGTTTGATTAAAAGCCTAAATATGGAAAACATTGACAGTTGAAGCCTGATATTTAAATATATTATTAAAGTTAAATCTGATTATTTTTAACTGTTAGTTAAAATCACCAAATGTATTTTTTTTTGATAAATGCCAGAAAACTTGGCAGAAACATTTTTAGTTTTTTTTTTTTTCCTTTTGTAGCTTTCTTTGTATTTTGTGTTTTTATCATTTAATTTTGTTTTGAACATGAATATGTTCAAAACAAAATCTTATTGATCTGTTAACTGAAGGGTCGGATTCTGTTAAAGTAAATTTAATTTGAACTGGGGGATTATTTTGATAACTAGTTTTTATTTTCTCAGATCAGTTTCTTAACACAACAGGTCTGCCAGGTCGGGACGCCTCTGGGTTATTTTTACTCTAGAATCTTTATTTGTGCCTCAGATCGGGACGTCTCTGTTCGACGAGGAAGGCGCTGGTATAGTCAAAGACTTGATGGCGAAAGCCGAGAAAAACGGCGTCAGAATCACGCTCCCCGTCGACTTTGTGACCGCCGACAAATTTGACGAGAACGCCGCCACTGGCTCCGCCACCGTCGCTGCCGGCATTCCCGCCGGCTGGATGGTAAGGAGAGGCCTCGGCCTTTGACCTTTGACCTTTGGCCTCGGGTGACCCCCGGCTCCTATGGTCCACAGGGGCTGGACTGCGGCCCGGAGAGTTCCCGGCTGTACGCGGAGGCGGTGGGTCGCGCCAAGCAGATCGTCTGGAACGGGCCGGTCGGCGTCTTCGAGTGGGAAAACTTCGCCAGGGGAACCAAGAGCCTGATGGACAAGGTCGTGGAGGTCACGAGGTCAGGATGCGTCACCATCATCGGTAAGAACCGCCGGGTCGGATTCTGATACCACAGAATATTTGGGAAAAAATTACTTTTCCTTTTAAAACGTTGTAATGCTAAGAGAATTTAGTCGTTCAACAAAAAGTCATATTTCAGAATAAAGTCGTAATTTTAAAATTCCTAAATGAGAAATAAAAAGTTAAGATGCTGAGCTGCAGAACTTTCAACAGAACATTCGTCCGAGTTCCTCAGACGAATCAGATCCTGAAGACTCAGATTTTCTCATTAAAACAATTTTTCTAAAGTTTTTACGACTTTATTCTAATATTCACTTCAAACAGCTAAAACATCGCATTGTTCGGTTTGACTTTAACTTTTGGATTTTCATCAGCTTAGTTCATGAAATGATTTAATTGTTGAAGCAGCTTTTTATCTTAATGTTCATCTTCACATGTTGAGACTGTTCTGCTTCGTTTTAAATTCAATAAATGAATAAAATGTTGCTATTAAAGTGAATAAAATGTGTTTCTGAGGATTTGATCTCTAGTCTGTAAACTTTAGCAGAATAAATAAATGTTTGATAAATGTGTAATAAACAGACAAAGGCATTTCCTCTGACGCTGTTCGCTTTCTGTCCAGGTGGGGGCGACACTGCTACCTGCTGCGCTAAGTGGGACACAGAGGACAAAGTTAGCCACGTTAGCACCGGCGGCGGCGCTAGCCTGGAGCTGCTGGAAGGTGAGCGCCACCAACAGGAAGCAGTCAGCAGCATTTAGGAATTTCAAATTAAAACACAAGCAAATGGGGATTATTATGGGTCAGTAAACACTTATTGTTATTTATTATTATTATTATAGTGGTGAATAAATGTCTCCATATAAACCAACAGCACCACCAGCTGGTCAGTCGGCGCCGTCGGGAGAAAAACAGGAAGTGGAAAGGAAATATTAAATAAACTAAAACAACAAACTGATTATTTTGGTCAAACATTAAAATAAACCAACAAACATTCATTCAAATTATTGAGGAAGTTTAACTAATAATTTTGAAAATTATATAGAACAAAGTGTAGAGTTAGACTGAATAGATCTGACCTGATGGCTCAGGAACTGATACCCAATCTAGAATTTGTTTCTATATCAGGACCGATACGGATATTGATATCAGATCGGTTCAGGTCTAATGTAAACTCTGTAATGTTGATCTGTTCTCAGGTAAAGTCCTGCCTGGTGTGGATGCACTCAGCAGCGCCTAGACGCCTCACTGGAGTGTGTGCGTGCGTGCGTATGTGTGTGTTTGTGTGTGTGTGTGAGAGAAGAGAAGAGAGGTGGACATCTCCTGAAGTGTCATCATGACCCCTGACCCCAACCTGCCATCTGTCCCAGCAGAGCGCTGACCTTTAACCCCGATTAATTTCTAACTTCAGACGTTCTCGGCTGCAAAGCAGCAGTGAGGTTTCTCCTTCCTGAGGAGAAACGGCAGCGGGGATCGGAGTTTACGGTTTCAGTAGAGCTTCTGTGTTAACGTGGCGATCATAGATGTGGCCAACATAGATGTTACTTCCTGTCTGATCTGTTCTAATAAAACCATCTATGTTTAAGAAATAAATCAGTGATCATGTCCTCATTGAGGCCGGGTAGGGTTAGGGTTAGGGTTAGGGTTAGGGCCGTACCCTGGGCCGTGCAAAAAAAAATACAAGCAAGTCAAAATATTAGAGAATAAAGTTACATTACAACTTCTCAGAATATTTTGACTTTATTCTCGTAATTTTATTTCCTTGTTCGGCAGCATTATTCCTCTGTAATATTCTGTTGAAAAACTGAATTTTGTCATCACATTGTTTCCATTAAATAGTTTAAAATCAGGTGAATGAGTTCATTCAGGCGATAAATCATTAAAAACATCATTGCACCACTTCCTGTTTTCTTCTTCCTGGTTTCCAGCAGTAGTAACTTCCTTTTGTTCATGTGACTCATGATGAAAAAAACTCTTTCCACTGCAGTTTAGCATAATATACTAATTTTAATACAGCTGAAAAAAAAACCACTTCATCGTATCATAAAAACATTTTATCCTTTTTCCCTAAAGTTTCCATCAAGCAAAGTTATTTTAATAATTGAAGTTTGTGCATTTATCTAGTCAATGGAAACGCAGCTAATGACTTTAACTCAATAAAAAATCTTTTCTCATTAACCCGGATTAAAGCATAATTATAAAAGACACTTTTAATTCTTTAATTCAAAATTGTCTAAACTTGCAAAAACATTGTGGATGTTTAGTTTATTTCATGCAGAACCTTTCAAAAGCATGAATTTATTTTGAACATCACATTTCTGTGTATTTTATTTAAACGCAGAACGATTCATTTCTATTGTTTGGGTAAAACTTAAAAACGTTTTTTTTTTACACCGACCTGTAAATTGGGATTAGATGGAAATTAGCAGCTCATCTATAATCTGATGTATTTTCATGAAAATGCAACTTGATGTGAAAGCAACATTTTCTCTCAAATCAAACAGAATAAATTTAGTAACAAAGTTGAAACAAATTAATAGATTTATTTGTTCACCGCTAGGGGGCAGCACCTGCTGGTGTATTTACAAACAGAACATTGTAAATGAACCGGACGTTGCGTAATGAACTGTTTGGTCGTGATGCGTTCAGGTGCTCTCCCCGTTTTCGTTCACATAGTCCGGCTCATCTGTCGAAGAAAACAGGCGAGGAATTATCTTCAAACCGAAATGATTCAATAAAACATGCAATATATTTAAACTATTGTTAATAGTTTAATGTCTGTTTTCTGAAAATCAACACATTTTTTGATAAGTCTTTAATTTTGGTAGATGTAAATAACAATAAACATTAAAATAAAGCTGCTTAATTTGGTCTCAACTGTTATTAAAATTCACACTATAATATTTAAATTAGATTTTCTTCTGTTTTATTTGCTATTGTTCACCTTGTCGCAGGTAAACATGGTGATATTTTATTAAATAATTGTTGCTCTTTATTTTCTACCATCTCAAATCTCTGGCTTTACTATTGTAGTTATTTTACGTTTAAATCAGCAGCATGTTGATCTGCAGCTGTTACATTTCTCAGTTCAGTGTCTCTGGTGTAAATTTGCTTTAATAAGCTGCAGATGATTAATTTAAAGACGATAACTAACCGTTGGCTTGCTGCTCCAGGAACTCTGTGTTTTCATAATCGTCATCTGTTTGGAGGAAAAGCGCCGTGAATGAATGAAACAGCTTTCAGCCTTAAAGTTCAGACTGTGTTTTACCTTCTGCTATCGACAGCGACGGGAAGACGTTCCCGTAAACGCCCGGATTCAGCTCCCTGTCTAGAAACACATTTATGTCGAAAATGTTCAGCAGCTCATAATTATTCAGCTGAAATCAGTTGCCATGGAAATATATATGGGGTTCCATTTGTGTCAAAAATAAGTAGAAGTCATATGTGTAGATGTTGTTGGTCTATGTCATTGCTATGTGACTTTGGTTGATGTCTATGGTCTTAGTGCTTTATGGATATGTCGATGTTACATATGTAGGTGATGCAGTGTTAGATATTGCATATGTCTGTCAGTGTTTCCCAACCCTGGTCCTCAAGGCTCACTGACCTGCATATTTTAGATGTTCCCCTGCTTCAATACACCCCATTCAGATGATTGCAATTCAGCAAAACCCTGTTAATCAGCCATGAATTGAAATCATGTTTGCTGAAGCAGAGGAAACACTGGTTGGGAAACACTGGTCTATGTTGCATATGTGTTCGTTGCATATGTACATGTTGCATATGTTATGTCTCTGGCTGCGTCGTGGTTATTACTGTCATCTTGTCAATCCATCTGCAGTAAAGCAGCAAACCCTTAGCAGTTGTGTTTTATGTAACGTCTGTGACTGATTAATGTCGTTGGTCAGTGTTGCTGGTGCCTGTTCTCTTTGTCGTTAAGTGTTGAAGTAGGTCATGTCTGATCAAAGTGTTTATTAGATATTACAAAAATACTGGTCTTTCAATATTAGTGTTTTCAAAATGCTTAAGATTTCTACCTTGTATTTTATTCAGGGTGGGGGCACTGCCAACATGGGCCCTACGTGGGCAAACCCATGTGACCCCACCATGGAAACCGCAGATAAACCCATATGGGTTCCATATTGTCTGCCATCCTTTTCCCCATATGGGGCCCACCTAGGTATGCTGGCTGGGATGCAATATCTAACATATGCATCACCTACATGCAACATCGACATATCCATAAAGCACTAAGACCATAGGCATAAACCAAAGTCACATAGCAACGACATAGACCAACAACATCTACACATGTGACTTCTACTTATTTTTGACACAAATGGAACCCCATAATATGGGGCACTATCGACGCTAAAAGTGAGGCAATTGCTTCCTGTATTTTTATTTTGAATTTGCTGCTGATCTGGAAAACCTGATGTAGTGATATGTCACTGTTAGGCTTCCGTAGCCCGGTGCAGACTGATGAGCATGCGCTGTACATCCAGTAGTTGGATAGTTGCACTAAGAAATAAAGCTGAGTTGTGCATAACGGCTCCACATTGAGTTCTTCATAAAAGACAGTCGTCTATGACAGCTGATAAAATCATGAGGAAGCAAAGTTTAGTGTTTCATTAATGTACTCACCAGGTAAGCCGCTCTTCTCATTTATGTATAAAGCCTCTCCGATAGGCGCTCTGTGAATCAGGAAAACTCTGTTACAGAAATTTTATATATAAAATTCCTAAATTTAAATTATAGTTTTCATCTCTGGAAAGCAGATGTTGCTTTTTTTAAGTGCATTTATGTGACGAGGGGAATTTGTGCTGTAAACAAACTGAATTAATTATTTTAATCTCAGTTAAACTTGTTGTTCTACTCATCCAGGTGTTCAGATCTCAGGTGTCCCTCAGGGCTCCGACCTTTAAATATTTTCCATAAATTTAACATCCACCTCTGCAGTAAACCAACTCCTCATCACTACAACAGACTCGGGTTAAAGTTCTTTGTTCAATTTGAGGATAAATTAGGAGAGAAAATGTTGTAATCCTATAATAAAATCAGTCGAAATGAAACGCTTCCGATTCTGTTCCAACTTTCAATCAACAGATAATGTAGCTTAAGTGAATATTTATTAACTTTTATTTACCTCACTGAGTCAACATGCATTAATACTAGCTGTGATTTTTCTCAGTATAACAGCTACAAGCATCATGTTTAGTTTTTAAATTAACAGTTGATTTAATGAAAACATTTAATTTTGTCTTCCAGTCTGATTACATGATTTCAGCTTGAAGCCAGCAGCTTCTGCTTTTCTTTGTATGATCTTTGATTCAAAACTATTTAAATAAGTGATAAATGATTTAAATTAGTGATTCTCACACGTAGTCGGGTTCCAGGCTGGAGCTGTTGGTTTGCACTGCAGGAAGAAAATCTTTTATATTTCAGATGTTTGCAGGAAGACAAATTAAAATACTCAAACTGTGACTTACAGTCTGTAACATTTTCATAGTCCTGCTCTTCAGTTTGATCTGCAGAACAATAATGAATTAATCAGGACTATATTTCCATAAAAACCCGTTGACAGTGGCGCAGCGGCTTACCGTCTGGCAGCGCAGAGTCCCCAGCAGTTTCTCTGAAAAACAGGCGCAGTTTGTTACATCTCATTATTCAGTCACGAAAATTTGTTCCTAATGAGCTTAAATAAAAAAGTTTCAACTCATCCGATTTGCCAATGTATCCGATTATTTGGAGGCCGCAGGACGTAAAATAACACTAAAGTCTGAACGAGTTTATGACACTAGCAAGCAGGGGCGGATCTAGAAAAATATTTATGGGGTGGCAAGAGGGTGGCAGGGACTTTTTC